TTCGTCTGTTACAGCATTTGGTGCTATGTAATCCTTTGTTTCTTTTTTATTATAATTTTGATTTCATTTTATACATAAAGAGCCACGCCTCTACCCCTATTCGAGCGAGCGCAACGCTTGTGTTACTTGTACCCTTGTTTTACTTGTTTTATTAGAGAAGTCTTTGTTAATATTGCCTCGAAAAACTTGTTCATCTGCTGGGCCAATGGATATACTGTCAAAATGGTTTTCTATATATTAAGACTTTCGTTTGTTACAGAATTTGGTGCTACGTATTCCTTTGTTTCTTATATTTGTTATTATTTGATTCCATTTTATACATAAGGAGCCACACTTCTCTTCTACCCCTATTCGAGCGAGAGCAACCCTTGTGTTAATTGTATTCTTGTTTTACCTGTTTTATTAGAGAAGTTTTTGTTAATATTGCCTCAAAAAACTTGTTTATCTGCTGGGCCAATAAAGACACTGTCAAAATGGTTTTCTATTTGTTAAGACTTTCGTCTGTTACAGAATTTGGTGCTACGTAATCCTTTGTTTCTTTTTTTTTGTTATCATTTTGATTTCATTTTATACATAAAGAGCCCCACCTCTATCCCCATTCGAGCGAGCGCAACCCTTGTGTTACTTGTATCCTTGTTTTACTTGTTTTTTTTTTAGAAAAGTCTTTGATAATATTGCCTCGAAAACTTGTTCATCTGCTGGGCCAATAAAGATACTGTCAAAATGGTTTTCTATTTGTTAAGACTTTCGTCTGTTACAGAATTTGGTGCTACGTAATCCTTTGTTTCTTTTTTTTTGTTATTATTTTGATTTCATTTTATACATAAAGAGCCACGCCTCCACCCCCATTCGAGCGAGCGCATTCCTTGTGTTACTTGTATCCTTGTTTTACTTGTTTTTTTTAGAGAAGTCTTTGATAATATTGCCTCGAAAACTTGTTCATCTGCTGGGTCAATAAAGATACTGTCAAAATGGCTTTCTTTTTATTAAGATTTTCGTCTGTTAAAGAATTTGGTGCTAAGTATTCCTTTGTTTATTTTTTTTGTTTTTATTATTTTGATTGCATTTTATGTATAAGGGCCACACCACTAAACCTATTTGAGCGAGAGCAACCCTTGTGTTACTTGTATTCTTGTTTTACCTGTTTTATTAGAGAAGTTTTTGTTAATATTGCCTCAAAAAACTTGTTTATCTGCTGGGCCAATAAAGACACTGTCAAAATGGTTTTCTATTTGTTAAGACTTTCGTCTGTTACAGAATTTGGTGCTACGTAATCCTTTGTTTCTCTTTTTTGTTATCATTTTGATTTCATTTTATACATAAAGAGCCCCACCTCTATCCCCATTCGAGCGAGCGCAACCCTTGTGTTACTTGTATCCTTGTTTTACTTGTTTTTTTTAGAAAAGTCTTTGATAATATTGCCTCGAAAACTTGTTCATCTGCTGGGCCAATAAAGACACTGTCAAAATGGTTTTCTATTTGTTAAGATTTTCGTCTGTTACAGAATTTGGTGCTACGTAATCCTTTGTTTCTTTTTTTTGTTATAATTTTGATTTCATTTTATACATAAAGAGCCCCACCTCTATCCCCATTCGAGCGAGCGCAACCCTTCTGTTACTTGTATCCTTGTTTTACTTGTTTTTTTTAAAAAAAGTCTTTGATAATATTGCCTCGAAAACTTGTTCATCTGCTGGGCCAATAAAGATACTGTCAAAATGGTTTTCTATTTGTTAAGACTTTCGTCTGTTACAGAATTTGGTGCTACGTAATCCTTTGTTTCTTTTTTTTTGTTATTATTTTGATTTCATTTTATACATAAAGAGCCACGCCTCCACCCCCATTCGAGCGAGCGCATCCCTTGTGTTACTTGTATCCTTGTTTTACTTGTTTTTTTTAGAGAAGTCTTTGATAATATTGCCTCGAAAACTTGTTCATCTGCTGGGTCAATAAAGATACTGTCAAAATGGCTTTCTTTTTATTAAGATTTTCGTCTGTTAAAGAATTTGGTGCTAAGTAATCCTTTGTTTATTTTTTTTGTTTTTATTATTTTGATTGCATTTTATGTATAAGGGCCACACCACTAAACCTATTTGAGCGAGAGCAACCCTTGTGTTACTTGTACTCTTGTTTTACCTGTTTTATTAGTGAAGTTTTTGTTAAAATTGCCTCAAAAAACTTGTTTATCTGCTGGGCCAATAAAGATACTGTCAAAATGGTTTTCTATTTGTTAAGATTTTCGTCTGTTACAGAATTTGATGCTACGTAATCCTTTGTTTCTTTTTTTTGTTATTATTTTGATTTCATTTTATACATAAAGAGCCCCACCTCTACCCCTATTCGATTGAGAGCAACCCTTGTGTTACTTGTATTCTTGTTTTACTTTCTTATTAGAGAAGTCTTTGATTATATTGCCTCCAAAAACTTGTTCATCTGCTGGGCCAATAAAGATACTGTCAAAATGGTTTTATAATTGTTAAGATTTTCGTCTGTTACAGGCTTTGGTGCTACGTAATCCTTTGTTCCTTTTTTGTTATTATTTTGATTCCATTTTATACATAAAGAGCCACGCATCCACCCCCATTCGAGCGAGCGCATCCCTTGTGTTACTTGTATCCTTGTTTTTCTTGTTTTTTTTTAGAGAAGTCTGATAATATTGCCTCGAAAACTTGTTCATCTGCTGGGCCAATAAAGATACTGTCAAAGTGGTTTTCTTTTTAATAAGATTTTCGTCTGTTACAGAATTTGGTGCTACGTAATCCTTTTTTACTTTTTTTTGTTATTATTAGTTTGATTGCATTTTATACATAAGTGTCACACCACTAAACCTATTCGAGTGAGAGCAACCCTTGTGTTATTTGTATTCTTGTTTTACCTGTTTTATTAGAGAAGTTTTTCTTAATATTGCCTCAAAAAACTTGTTCATCTGCAGGGTCAATAAAGATACTGTCAAAATGGTTTTCTATTTGGAAGGACTTTCGTCTGTTACAGAATTTGGCGCTACGTAATCCTTCGTTTCTTTTTTTGTTATTATTTTGATTCCATTTTATACATAAAGAGCCACACCTCTACCCCTTTTCGAGCGAGAGCAACCCTTGTGTTACTTTTATCCTTGCTTGAATTGTTTTTATTAGAGAAGTCTTTGTAAATATTGCTTCAAAAACTTGTTCATCTGCTGGGTCAAAAAAGATACTCTCCAGAGGGTTTTTTATTTGTTAAGATTTTCGTCTTTTACAGAATTTAGTGCTACGTAATCCTTTGTTTCTTTTTTTTGTTATTATTTTGCGTCCTTTTTATACATAAAGAATCACGCCTCTACCCCTATTCGAGCGGGTGCAACCATTGTGTTAATTGTGTCCTTGTTTTATTTGTTTTGTTAGGGAAGTCTTTGTTAATATTGCCTCAAAACGTTTGTTCATCTGCTGGGCCAATTAATATACTGTCAAATTTGTTTTCTATTTGTTAAGACTTTCGTCTAATACAGAATTTGGTGCCACATAATCCTGTGTTTCTTTTTTTAAGTTTTTTTTGTTTTTATTTTGATTGCATTTTATAAATAAAGAGCCACACCTCTACCCTTATTCGAGCGAGAGCAAACCTTGTGTTACTTGTGTTCATGTCTTACTTGTTTTATTAGAGAAGTCTTTGTTAATATTGCCTCAAAAACTTGTTCATCTGCTGGGCCAAAAAAGATACTGTCAAAATGGATTTCTATTTGTTAAGATTTTCGTCTGTTACAGAATTTGGTGCTACGTAATCCTTTGTTTCTTTTTTTTTGTTATTATTTTGATTACTTTTTATACTTAAACAGCCACACCTCTACCCCTATTCGAGCGAGAGCCACTCTTGTGTTATTTGTATCCTTGTTTTACTTGTTTTATTAGAGAAGTCTTTGTTGATATTGCCTCAAAACATTTGTTCATCTGCTAGGCCAATAAAGATACTGTCATGATGGTTTTTTATTTGTTAAGACTCTCGTCTGTTACACAATTTGGTGCTACGTAATCCTTTGTTTCTTTTTTTTTGTTATTATTTTGATTCCATATACCTAAAGAGCCACACCTCTACCCCTATTTGAGCGAGCGCAACCCTTGTGTTACTTGTATCTTTGTTTTACTTGTTCTTTATAGAGAAGTCTTTGTTAATATTGCCTCAAAAAACTTGTTCATCTGCTGGGCCATTAAAGATACTGTCAAGATGGTTTCCTATTTGTTAAGACTTTCGTCTGTTTCAGTCTTTGGGGCTACGTAGTCCTTTGTTTCTTTTTTTTGTTATATATTTTGATTCCATTTTATACATAAAGAGCCACACCTCTACCCCTTTTCGAGCGAGAGGAACTTTTCAGTTCTTGGTAGCCATTTTAGCTTCAATTCGTTTTATAAATTTTTTTTTCGGGAAACCACGTCTCCGCAATGCCAAAATCTTGGTCGGCAATCCACATCAATCCTGGTATTGCAAGCAGTCTGGGTCTTTTCCTAGTTGTGTTAGTCTTGTTTTGTCCGTGCTGAGTTGTTTCACACTGTCATAGTGAGAGGGAGTTTCTTCGCGATATGGTTTTTTCGTTCATCTCTCAGTTCCGGCTCTGATGGGCGTCCTTTGCTTGATCACTGTTTTCGCACGGTGCTTATTGTGATGATTTTAGTAGCCATCACGACTTCTTTGGTGTCTTACCTGGTGACTCTAGTTAAAACTGTTCTTAACTGAACTCCATTGATCTTCAGAATAGCTGGTGATAGCGTTTCCACGCTCATACTCTGGTAAGGAAACTGATACCTTCTGCTCGCTGCCACCAGTCCGTATACTGTATTCTTTTTTCTACGCCTATTGTTTTTCACATATTTTTTTTCGTGCCTTGTGTTCTAATCTTTTTCGTCAAAAAGAAAAACTTTCAAAAAAGTTCTCCTTGGCTTTTGCTCTTCAAAAGGTAGTTTGCATAACTTGATTTGTTTGTATGCAGTTGATCACGACTGAAGAATGTTAGTTATTTATGCGACGGAGCTTACCACTTGAAGCAGAAACTGAGCACAAGAGTGAGGAGATCCCATCAGCACAAACACCTCAGAAGAAGACAATCTCTGCGATCTAAAAGTAGTCAATCAACTTGAGACAATCCCTCGAGTAAGTAATTGACTTAAGCGTACTTGAGGGCAGGGGCGGATCTAGGATTTTCTCGAGGGGGCCGGATTTTCAAAAAATTTCGAACCTTTTTTTAGGTCGACCAAATTGATAATTTTCCGAGCTCTCCTAAAACAGTAGAGACCCTGTTTTGGCTAAAATTTCAAAAGATTTTTGGCGCGCTCTTAGAAAATTTTTAGGGTCAGTCAGTCAGTCAAAAAATTATATCTCAAAATAGTACAAAGGGGGCATTTTGGGTCGGCAGGGGGTCGAGTCCCTGATGTGAAAGGCGCCCTCGCCCCCCTTAATCAGTCCCTGCATGAGGGCAATATATCACTGGCACGTACCAAATGTTAGTTTAAGTTTATGTGATCTTCCTAACAAAATTTTATCGATTTAAGCATGGACTCTAAATAGTTGTTTCAAAAACTATTGACCCGAGTCGAGATTTTTCACCTAATTTGAAGCAAGATTTGAGCGGTTTGAGCGGTTTTTTTAGACAATTACGCTCAAAATCTTGCTTCAAAATGAGCGGTTTGAGCGGTTTTTGAACGGTTTATCTAAAAAAACCGCTCAAAAACCGCGCAAGATTTGAACGGTTCTGAGCGGTTTATCTAAATAAACCGCTCAAAAACCGCGCAAGATTTAATAATAAAAAATCGACCACAAAGGGATTCGAACCTGCAATCTTCTGATTCGAAGTCAGAAGCCTTATCCGTTAGGCTATGCGGACTTCCTGAAAGCTAAATATTCGTTGTATTTGTTCTACTGAATATGTTGGTTTGAGCGGTTTTCCAGCAAGATTTGAGCGGTTTGAGCGGTTTGGGCGGTTTGGGCGGTTTGGGCGGTTTTTTTGGAAAAACCGCTCAAAAACCGCTCAAATCTTGCTCGAAAAACCGTTCAAAAATCACCGCAAGAAATGAGCGGTTTTTGAGCGGTTTTTTAAGCAAGATTTGAGCGGTTTGAGCGGTTTTTCCAAAAAAACCGCCAAAACCGCCCAAACCGCTCAAACCGCTCAAATCTTGCTGGAAAACCTCTCAAACCGCTCAAATATTGAGCGGTTTTTGAGCGGGATCTCGACCCGGGGACCTGGCAAAAACTTTGATTGATTCCTTTGTAACTTTTACCAAACACGAACATATTGAATATCATTTGTTTATCGATTTTAGTGAAATATATTTTTGATATATTATTTGCCTTAAAGCAAGTTGTTGAAAAAAGAAAAGCCTGGTTTTCAAAATTACTAGTTCACTTGGGTTGCTATTGCTTGTTGCTGAGCAAATACAAGTTTGAACTATAGTTGCATATAATTAGTTGAAAATATAGTTGCATATAATGCAAGTTCGAACTATAGTTGCATACACTCAAAAAAAAGTCAAGGTAAATTTACCTTAAAAAATACCTTAAAACACCTTAACAATTAAGGTAAATTTACACTACCTTTAGTAGACCTTAACTTACTTTAAAACACCTTAAAAATTTACCTTAAATCACCTTAAAAGTTAATGTGTATCAATCTTAAAAAACACCTTAAAAAATTTTATAGGTAGATTTACCTTAAAAATTTACCTTAAAAAAGTAGGTAATTTAACTACATTTACCTTAATATTATGGTGTTTTTAACTTAAATTTTCACCTTAAAAACACAAAAGTTAAGGAAAAATAACCTTAAATGTTGAGGTAAAAAACCTTAATTCTCTTCACTTTTAAGGTTTTTTACCTTAACATTTGAGGTTATTTTACCTTAACTTTTGTAATTTTAAGGTAAAAATTTAAGGTAAAAACACCTTAATGTTAAGTTAAATGTAGTTAAATAAATTACCTACTTTTTTAAGGTAAAATTTTAAGGTAAATCTACCTATAAAATTTTTCAAAGGTGTTTTTTTAGGTTGATACACCTTAACTTTTAAGGTGATTTAAGGTAAATTTTTAAGGTGTTTTAAGGTAAGTTATGATGTACTTAAGGTAGTGCAAATTTACCTTAATTTTTTAAGGTGTTTTAAGGTACGTTAAGGTAAAAATTATTGACCTGTTTTTGAGCGCATAAATGAAACAAACAACTTTTAATCCATTTACATTCTATTGGGGCTCATAATTGCGGTTGATTGCAAAAGCCACAACCGATCAAACTCCCCGAGGATATTTTAAGGCAAAATATGAAGACAGATGGAAATTAGAAACCTGTGAAAAAAATTTATTAAGTAGATGTCAGCTCATGTCTTACAGAAGTAAGACACTTTAACAGGATCGCCACGTGAAGGCCTCTACAGTTGGTCCCACGTATGGAACAAGGAAAGGCTCGCTAAAGGTAACAAATGCACATAACAAATAAAGCTACTGGAAACAAATGTGTTCGCTTATTTACCTCAAAATGAGACATCCAAAAGTTTAACCAGGTAAATTTCCAGTAACGCTTCCTTCCAGTCAAGCACCAAAATTAAATTATTCATTCAAATGATATCAACAACTTGCTAGTTTTAACAGCAAAAGAACGTTCCTTTCCCAATTCCTATTCAAATTTATTTAATCGGAATTGCAAAAACTTCAAAAAAATAGCTAATTATGAAATCTGACCCACATGTTTTAAGATTGGAAATAGAGCATCCGGTCAGCCAGCTATGTATTAACATTGGGTATAGAGTCTACAATGTATTAAGATAGGGAATACCGATGGTAAGGTTTTATGCTTTGTGTGATGGTAAGATAATGGTAACAAATGCACATAACAAATAAAGCTACTGGAAACAAATGTGTTCGCTTATTAACCTCAAAATGAGACATCCAAAAGTTTAACCAGGTAAATTTCCAGTAACGCTACCTTCCAGTCAAGCACCAAAATTAAATTATTCATTCAAATGATATCACCAACTTGCTAGTTTTAACAGCAAAATAACGTTCCTTTCCCAATTTTGTGTGGAACTGTCTAGTTTTTTCGCAAAAATGTTGGCGCGCGTTAACTAATTTGTAATTATCAAAGGTTAATTACGTGTATGTGGTGTAATGAAGGATTTTCAATTAGCTTTTTGATACATGGTATGTCAATGGTAAGAGTTTTTGGGTAAAAACTTGGAATTTTTATGAAAAAATTTTCAAAAAACTTCAAAACACGATAAGATTAGCTAATATTCGACGTTATTTATTAGATAATCTGATTTCTATCTACTTGAAAAAATGCTGAAAACTACTGAAGTTTCAAAAAAATTCAAATTTTTTCAGAAAAAATTGCAAAAATTTCAAGTATTTGGAAAAAATTGCAAAAATTTCAACTATTTGGAAAAAAAAAATTGCTAAAATTTCAAGTATTTGGAAAAAATTGCAAAAATCTCATGATTTTGGCTAATGTATTGTTGCTTTTGATCTAACTTTAAACATACTTTACGCATAGATTTTAAAAATAAGCTAAGACTGTATTTTAATTGGCATTATGTTGAGACAATGATACAAAATTTTGAATATAAAAATGACTTTTTCCACAATTTTTTCTCAAAATATTGAAATACAATGAAGTTTATCTTATTTTGAGATAAATATTTGGTTATGCAATGCTCTAAACACTGAAAAAAAGGTTCATACTAGCAGAATCAATATTGAAACTTCCGGAAAACAGTGATATTAGTCGTAATTTTCGAGAAGATAAAGTAAAAATTAATCAAATTTACATGAAATTTTCCATTGCAAACCTTTTATTTTGGTTTTTATTTGTTTTTTTTTGTCCAGTTCAGGTAATTTTTTTAGGAATCTCAATTCAAATGAACATTAAGGGCAATATTCTATGAAATTTCTAAATCAAACTCCATGATTCAATTCCTCCTCATTTTTTTCTCATTGAATTACCCAAATTTGTACAAAAATTAAGATTTGTGAGAAATTTTTCATACAAATTTCAATTTATTGATAAAAAATGAATTGTTAATGGCTAAATTTGACTAAAAATGGGATAACTATTTCTTAAAAGTTTATTCGATATTGGCTCAAATTCAACAAAAACTTCTTCATAACTAATGATTATCTCTCTGTTGCTTCTGCAGCATAACTTTCAAGATTTTCCGTAGAGCTTTTCCATGTTTTAGGGTTATTCTTGCTTTCTGTTTAATACATGTTTTCGCTATTGAACACACTTTACAAGAAAATTTAGTCAAAACTGGAGAATTTAGGAGGAAAATAGTATCAATTGAACGAACAATTTGCTGGCAGAGATGAAATTAGAACTGATACCAAATGATTATTACAATAAAAATTGTAAAGATCTTCCTCAAGGTTCCCCTTTTTAGTTGCTATCGTAAACAATTTAAGCAAAAATACAACTTTTGGGATCAATAACTATCACTTTTCTTGCAAAATATTTATTAACTCGCTTTTTATTCTTAATTTATGACGGAAGATTTCTCAAAAATATCCAAGTGAGAAAGAATTGGTGCTAGTTAAAGCATTCAAAAATATATGTACAAAATGAGAATATAAAGGTATATTTTTACAATCTAAGAACAAATTAGGAGCAGCTCTATTAGTTTTAATCTGAAAACCTCCAGAAATACGCAAGAGAACCTAGTTCCTAACATCTAAAAAATCTAAAAACTTCTAGAAGAGCGTGTCCCAAAAAATTGATTAAGCAAATGCAATCAAGTTGCAAAATGGAATAATTGTATAGTTTTCCTAGTTTTAATCAGCAAAAAACTTTATAGTAAAAACAATGAAATGTAGACCTTGAAAGCAAGTTTTTGATTTATGATTTAGGTATCATCTTCCAAAAGATGTCAGATTGGGTTTGCTTTAGAAAAATTATCCTCAAAACAATTGTTTTTTCATTTTAGGAACATAATTTATCAAATGATAATAAAATTTTCTAATGAATTACGCATAAATATAAACCTTTGAGATTTTTTATGTCGGATTTTTTTCTCAAGATATACTTTATAAGCAAAATTTTAGTAAAATTATCTCAAAAATCCTAATGACTTATAGGGAGT